CACATCAACCACTTTGATTGAATATGTAATGAATAATGTAAACGAGTCGTTCACATTTTGTTTAATTAAGCAGTGCTATCGTAACCATTTGTCGCCATCATATTATGTTTGTTCACCTTTGTAAATTAATTATATATTCGATGCTACGCTTGATGTAATGCAGTAATTGAATGCTTAAATTCGATTGTTTTTATTTTCTGATTTATAACGGGTGTTCAATAAAAAATGAGAATTTTTTTCAGCCATAGCTAGTAAAAATTTTTTGTTTTCAATGAATTCAGTACTTCTTTTTATTAAAAACATAATTTTTATTCTTCAAAAAAACGTCAATGAAGGGGCCCTGGTCAGCCGTACGACGCAACTTAGTCGCGATGCTCTCACAAGAACGCTGGACGGCACTGAAATCATTCTCATTTTTTATTGAACACCCGTTATACCATTTATACTAATTTATTCTAGTTCCGTTAAAGGGTGTCCACGATGAAATTGCCACACTATGAAATTGCTCTAACTTTTTAACCGTTGGGTAGAATTTAATGAAAATTTGGGTGGATTTAGTTCATAGTGCATTATTTACATCCTGCAAGTTTTAAAGTCCTGTGATCAAAACTCGCGGAAATGGAGTCGAAAGAACAGCTCGTGCGTGATAAAATCTTGCGCATTCATCACGAGAACAAGGATCTCTCGCATCGTTCCATCGCTAAAACGTTGGGAATCGCGAATTCCACGGTGTCGCGAGTGATTAAGCGGTTCGAGGAACGGTTGACCACCGATCGGAAGCCCAGAAGTGAAGGAAAAAGTATTCCGTACAACACCAAAAATCACAACCGCGTAGTTGGGGCCTTCAACCGAAATCCGAACGCCTCCGTTAGGGATGTGGCTAAGAAGCTGCACCTAAGCCGAAGTTTTGTCCAGAAGGCCAAAACTAAGGCTGGGCTTCGAACGTTCAAGGTACAAAAGGCCCCTAATCGCGACGAGAAGCAGAACAAGTCCGCCAAAACCCGTGCCAGGAAGTTGTACCTCAACATGCTGACGAAAGTTGAATGCTGCATCATGGACGACGAAACATATGTGAAGGCCGACTTCAAACAGATCCCTGGCAACCTGTTTTTCACGGCCAAGGATAAGTTCAGCGTTCCGGAGCATGTCCGCACTCAGAAGATGTCCAAATTTGCGAAGAAATTCCTGGTTTGGCAAGCCATCTGCACGTGCGGGAAGCGGAGTGCACCTTTCGTGACCCAGGACACGATGAACGGACAGGTGTACATAAAAGAGTGCCTCCAGAAGCGGCTGCTTCCTCTCCTGAAGGCCCACAACGTCCCAACAATCTTCTGGCCGGATTTGGCCTCATGCCACTACTCCAAGGACGTGCTGAAGTGGTATGCGGACAATAAGGTCAATTTCGTGCCGAAAATTTTCAACCCTCCCAACACTCCGGAGCTCCGCCCCATCGAGAAGTACTGGGCGATTATGAAGCAGCACCTTCTTAAACGACCTAAGGTAGTGAAGACAGTCGAGGAACTGAAGAAAGTATGGGTTTACATGCAAAAAACGGTTGATTCACAGGTTGTGCAGAATCTTATGGCCGGGGTTAAGGCCAAGGTGCGGGCATTTGCGTATGGACTGTAAATAAAATTGTAAAATGAAGTTTAATAGTTATTTCTCAATCCCTGAAAATTTGATGGCAATCGGATGAAAACTCGAATTTTGCGAATCAATTTTGTGTGTGGCAATTTCATCGTGGACACCCTTTACCTTGGAAGCAGATCTATGTTTGAAAGGTCTTTCTCTGTGCAGAAATAAGAACACAGAAGAAAATCCTGAAGTTAAGTGTGATTTTGCTATGAAATCCATTGGAAGCTTTTGGCTGTCTTTTGGCGATCGTATAAGAAAGTTTGCCAGTGTTCTTGGTATGTTGTCTTCGCTTTAATGTATTCCATTTCCTCTTTTAATTTATCTGAACTACTGCTTGAAGATCCTTCAGTCTTTTGGACCTGCAATCTCATTATAAATTCTACGAATGCTCTTTGAAGTTCTCAAAATTTTACGAAACGGGCGAATTCATTTGCGTGTAACTTCCAAACCCGCTTAGAAAATTACCATAAAAAGTTTTATCAACCTATTCTGGTTATCATCCTAACCTTATGTGATATGGTTGAATCATAGGTGGTATCGTCAATGTATAGTACTCTTTTATTAGGGGTTTCTATAAATTCCACCGTCGTATAAGAACATCCCACAAACACTTTAACTGATTAATTGCAGAATCTGGGCTGGTAGAGAGTCACTTTTTAGTGACCTGGTCACTTTTTTCAAGCCAGTCACTAAAAAGTCTCGTTTTCTTAATGCCAAGTCACTAAAGTCACTTTTTCTTGTAGTAAGTCACTATTTTGAACTTTTTTAAACGTGAATTTATTTCAAGATTGATCATTCTTCTGGATAGGCCTACATTTTGTTCTATTTTTGAACAATTCGAAGTTGACGACCTGGTATAGAGTTTTTGTTACGTTTAATCATTCTTCTCTATCTACAAGGTGTCCACTCATTTGGCTAAATAAAGTTCCCTGAGTTTTCCAGGTTTTTCCATAACTTTGGCGGATAATTTCCAGAGAATGCTATTTATGAAATGCGTTAAAAATATGTTTTTAACGCTAATGTTTTTAATATATGAAAATCAGTTTTAAAAAAAAACAGCTAGATTTGATATCATTAAATGTTGAAGTTGAACACTTACTTCATTTTAGTAAGTCTAAGGTCACAACATTTTTAGTGTCTTGACGTTTCGTACTAATAAAAATTAGGAAACTTTAATGAAGTTCTATTGATCTCAGAAAAGCTAGATCTAGAGATCTTTAGGGAATTCCAGAGATCTTAAGGAGAAGTCCCCGAAACTTTAACCCAGACCGTTGAATTGGTTTAAAAATCTTTAAACGTGAGTTTAGACAAATTTAGGATAGTTCCATGATGAAAACCCATAAAATGTTCCGAAAGATTCAGTACAGAGAACTTCAGAAAATTTATGAAAACTTCAGAAATATTTCAGGAACTTCACAGAAATCCAGAGAATTCCAGGGAAGTTTAAATGTGTTTACGAGAATTCCATTTATTTTAAAGCAGAGCCGAAATCTTTATTAGAGTTGATAGTTTTAGGGAAGCTCCGAGAACATGAAGACAGATCAGAGAATCAATGGTCAGTTCTGAAAATTTCATGTAAATTGCAGAAACCGGAATGTCCGGAAACTTCGGTTTGCTCAGAGAAAATTTCTGGAACGCAATAAAAAATTTATGTACATCCGGAAAATGTGAGAGTATTTCAAGGGTGTTATGTGATGGGAATTTCAAAATCTAAAAACAAATCGAAAATTGTATTAGCTTGGAGGTTTAGTCATAAACTTTCTATTGAATCGTACGCTTTAAAGGTTCCTATCGTACATATTTAAGTGTTTATGAGAATCTAATTGAATGAGTCTAAAACATCAAACATTTATTTTGTAAGCCATCAGAACGACTAATTTTCTACCCTTAGGTCACTTTTTGGTCACTTTTTTACAACTATAAGTTACTATTTGGTCACTTATTTCTTCAACATAGTCACTAAAATTATTATTCTTGACAGCATTGATCGCTACCAGCCCTGCAGAATAAACATGTGTCCAGCACGGTGTCTCTGAAAGAAAACCTTATTAAACAAATCAGTATCGCACCAAACGAAAGCTTAAGCTTGCCGCTTTCATCTTAAGCAAGTATCGAAATTTTCTATCGGGAGGTCTAGAACAATATCGAAAAATTACTCCCGAGGTGCATATAAGATTTCGTTTGGTGGGTGTTTCAGCGATACTGATTTTTTCAAATAATTTTATTCTACCAGAGACACCGTGCCAGCTGTACGAGTTTTGCCTGAATAAGCTGTTATTCAGCTACGATTGTTTGTTCTAAGTGCTAGAGTTGGTGCTTTATTCTTATCAATACCTACCGAACAAACATTCAAACAAGTGCATGCATAATTATCCTTCCCTTTCCATGGCGTCAAATCATCCGTTTGCATCGGTTCCGCGAAACACCTGCCAAGTGGAGAAAGCACTAATTATAGCATAGAATGTAGCACTTAACCGTGACAGTGTATGATATACATACATCTATATTGTCTACGTTTTAATTGCTAGAAAACTATCGACCAGAAACTAATCAGTTTCGCTACCAACAACAATAACAACAACAACTAGGAACAACCTGCAGGCAAGCATGATGAGCGCGATTATTATTAATATTGCACCACCTTTTTTTTATTGCTACTGGCTGATGCTCATTTCGCACCGCTGTACCTACTTTTTGCTAAGCGTGCCAACTGTTGGCACTTGGATCTCTAATTAAATGCTGTTGTAACGTGCAGGCAGCTCCTGAGCAGTCCTCCTTCCGCGCTCCTGCTATGAAGAGGCTGGTTCGAGTAACGAGTAAGAAATAATTTCTCGTTCTATTTTCCCGGTAATAAGCCGAAGCGTTTTGCCGCGCTTGGCAGACGATTCATCGTTCCATTGAGAACCACTTGAATGTTAGTTTGCTGGACTCATGACGATGATGAAGGCGTTTTCTTCCCTCGGCTGTAACACCTGTACTGTATATTCTGGAACATGATCATCAATCTGAGACTGAGAGGTTTCCTTTCCCTTCCTACCTTTATTGCATCCTCAACCTGATTGTAAAGACACACATGTAAACATACTTATCTGTACGTTTCAAACTACTATTTTTGGTTCGTGAAAATCTCATAAGTACACTAAGCTCTAGGTTAAGAACTGTACATAATGTCAATAATTCCCTAATGTTTGTTTGTATATTATTTTCTTTCTCTTTTTTCTTCTCATTCCGAACAACAACCGAAATATATCACATTCACATTCAAATCATACAAATCAAAATTATTACCAATCAAACCATGTAAAAAAATCCGATCACACGCGATTTCCCTCGCCGTCGCCATCGTCGTCGTCGCACGCATGCAGGTGATATCGGCCTTCTACGATCAGAGCGGCTCGCTGGTGATGGGACCTCGCACCGGAACGCCGATGCGGCTGGTGAGTCCGGCGCCCCCGGTGCTGGTTCCGCCGGGTGCGGGTGGTCCGCGCGCTCCACAAGCCCCACCAACGATCTATCCACCGCAGCCCCAGACACAACAGAGCATGTACTCCGCACAGAATGGATCCAACATTGGAGGTAACTGGATTAGAATTCACTTCTTTGTTTGTATATTATCACACACATGTCATACATACACACTCACACATGCGTGTGTCTTCTTAACCTTGATGACAAACATACATAATTTCCCGTAAATATTGTATTGCATTGTATAGAGTTGAATAACATCCTTCACTGTTTTTCGTCGATGTTGGCAGGGACGTTGAATCGTCGGACGTCACACAGTTAATAATTTGAAAATATGTAATTAGTTCCATACTGGTTATTAATGTTGTACTTGCTTAGTGATTTTAATCGATTTGATATACTTTAAATAATACGTGATTCGCTGGCAAAAAAAAAATTACATTTCGTTAAGATGATCGCATATTTTGTAAATTTGGTCAGCTGTTGTTTGATCTTGAAAATAATACATCACCATGTGGATTGTAAAAATTGGTTCCTTAAAATATTACAAATAATTTAATGAATATTTTCAAAATTATGAGGTACATTTTCCAAAAACCGAAACCCTACTTATGAAAAATTAATACAGGGTGGCCAGCGAACCAAGAAAACCGGAAAATATCCGGGAAAACCTGGGAAAACGGGTTTTCTACAAGAGAACCGAGAAACTTAAATTAACCATATAATAGGAACAAATTTTTACATCAGAATTTCTGAATAAACTATTAAAGTGATTATTTACCAAATGATTGTCTTGCTCTGTTTGCTGCAGAATTTTCTTCAGTTTCCCGTCCTATTGTTTTTAGAATTGAATCACTCAGCAAATTGATTTTGGTCGTTTCAATTTCAGATGTAAAGTGCATGACCTTAAAAAAATATTGAAGATGCTGCAGTTTCGAAACAAATATTTGTAAAAGCCGAAACTGAACTATTCTTTTCCGGGGTTTTAATTTTTCGTTTTTCAAAATTCTTTTTATATGAATTCCAGAATTAGCTTGGAACTCTGCTTTGAGTTATCATCGAATTCTTCTGAAATTAACCAGAAAACACTCCGCGTAATAATTACCGTTGAATTCTTTTTGGAATTTCCTTGAAACCCTTTTTAAGACATTTGATTGTAATCCTTCTTAGAATTCCCTTGAGCCTATTCGGAACCTTTGATTCCTTTGAAATTCTTTTTTAAATTTTCATTTAATTCTATTCAAAGCAGCAGAAACTTTTCGAAAGTTTGTTTAGAAACCCCTTGGAGTATTTTAAAGAATTTCGATCGAATTTTTTTGCAATCAATTTTGTTTGAGCTCTGTGATGAATCTTTCGCACTAGGGTTGAAATTATCCCCAGAACACTCTTAGAAATCTGTTTCTTGTTGAATTCTCATCATAATTCTTCTTAAAATGCATCTGTCATTTTCCTCACGAACTCCATAAAAATCACCTCAGAATCACGTAGGAATTTTTCTTACAGTTTTGTTTTCACAACTCATTTTGAAATCTTCTAAAATTACCTAAGAATTTAATAAAACTTGCATTTTTCTCCATAGAAATCCCTCCAAATTCATCTAACAATTTCTAAAGCCTTCATGTCAGAATAATGCTGGAATTCTGCTCACTTCTCCTTCGAAAATTATGTGGGAATCCTCCTCAATATTTGTTTGAAATCAACACTTTGAATACCTTTAAATTTTACTAATAAATTCAGGGTTTGTCCGCAAGATTATATCGATTGTTCTGTAATTTGTTATAACCCTAATTATGACTCCACGACCCATAACTATGATATATATTTTTTCAAATCTATGATCTTATTTTTTTTAAATCTCACATTTTAACTTTTTTTTTTCCAAATCTTGCATCACGAAGATTGTTATTAATCACACATTTTGAAGAAAAGTTCAGGGTTGGTAGTGAGTCACTTTTTAGTGACTTGGTCACTTGTTTCAAGCAAGTCACTAAAAAGTCTCCTTTTTTAAGGCCAAGTCACTTGGCACACGACGGTCTAAAGTCACTTTTTCTTGTAATCAGTCGTTTTTTGAAGATTTTAAAGATTCAAGATTGATCATTCTTCTTGCAGTGTGTAGGAAAGGCCTACATTTTGCTATGATTTTTGAACAATTCGAATTTGATGACCTCGTATAGATTTTTTTACGTATAATCGTCTTTCTCTATCTACAGGGTATCCAATCATTTGGCTAAATATAGTTTTCCAGGTTTTTCCATTACTTTGACGGATAATTTCCAGATTTCTAATAAGAAAGCTATTTATGAAATGCGTTAAAAATATGTTTTTTTTTTGTAAAACAACAACAACAATTAACGCAAACGTGACAATTAACGCAAGACATGACAATCAGTTTTAAAGAAACAGCTTTACTTAAAATCTATAATCGTGAGTTTAGACAAATTTAGGATAATTCCATTATGTGCTGAAATAAAATCGAGGACCCTTAAGATGTTCCGAGAGATTCTGTACAGAGACCTTCAGAAAATTTATGAAAACTTCAGAAATATTTCAGAAACTTCACAGAAATCCAGAGAATTCCTGGGAAGTTTAAAGGTGTTCACGGGAATTCCATTCGGTAATGCTTTAAAAGCAGAACCGAGATCTTCATTAGAATTGAGAGCTTTAGAGCACCGAGAACATCAAGACAGATCATAGAAGTAGTACCGATATTTTCAAGAAATTCCAGAGAACTTCTAAGAAATTTAGATAATTTTAGATTGTTTCGTTATATTCAGTGCAGTTTCGAGGACGATCAGATAGCATCACAAAAATCCTATTAACTTTAGGAAATTTGCAGCGACTAGCAAGGAGTTCCTTGTAATTAAGGGATATTCCGGATATTGAGAAGATTCAGGGAATTATAAATGCATATCAGAAAATTTACCGGAACATTTGATAAATTTGGAGAAATTAAGGTAAGCATAGAAAACTTCAGGGCTGAACTTTCCAGGGAAAATTAGTAATATAAGGCAAAGTTCCGTGAGCGTTTATAAACTTTATAAAACTCAAGGAAAATTGTAGAACTCAAAGGCAATTCAATTAATTCCAGTAAAATGGGTTCTATTAAAAAAATACTAAGATATTCAGGGCAGTCTAGAGAATTTTAAGGAAATTTAGAAATATTTTGGGCGGTTTTTAAAACGTCAGGAAACTCTAGACTATTAAAGAAGCTATGAATTAGTTTCGAAAATTGACAATTCTTGAGTGAAAATCATAGAACTATATTGATTATTTCGTTGCAGGAGCTTAAAGAAGGTCCTGAAATTTTAGAATAACTTTGAAATCTTCAAAGAAGAACAGAGATCTTCATAAAAGTCTATGGAACTTAAGGGAAGATCCGAGAACTTCAGGAACTTATATAGACATTTCGGGAGCATTTCAAATAAGTTGAGTAAAGCTCCAAAAACAAGGGGAATTCCAGGGGAGTTCAGTTCCATTAGTTTCACTAAATTGGCGGAAAATGTAAAGAAGTTCCCAAATTTTTAGAGAATTTTAGAGATGTTAAGAAAATTATTGAGGTTTTCACGTAACTCCAGAAGTTCACGGAAGCTTAAACATTTTTAGAATTAAGTTCAATTAATTTCAGGTTAGTACAACAAGCTTCATGAGAACTGCAAACACTTTAGAGAAGTTTCGAGAACTTCAAGAAAGATATTGGTCTCGCTAAAAAGCTAAACAAAAAATTTAATAAAAAACATACATTCTCAGAGCAGAGATATTCCAGAGCAGTGAAATTACATAAATTTTAAAGAAATTTAGAGAAATTCAGTGAATGTTTAAAACTTTAGAAAAGATTCATGATCGTAAGGAAAATTGTGGAAACATTAGGAAGTCCGAAAATGTTTGGAGACGTTAAAAACAACGATGAGAAGTATTGTGAGCATCAGGCTAGTTTCTCAAACAACAAAACAACTTCAACGCAACTTCAGGAATATTTTGGGAACTTTCAAGTTGTTCTGAAGACCTCAAAATAGTCCATTACATATTCAACGGAGATTTCGCACGAAAATTCGCTTGGAGTTCTCCTCATCATTCGCTCGTATTCTCCCGAAACTCTCATGGAATTATTTCAGAAATTCACTTGGAACGTTTGTCTGAATTCTCTAAAAAAAAAATCATAAGAATATAGTTAGAATACTTTTCGCAACTATCCAACGAATCAAATTTTCTTTTAATTGTTCTAGAAATTACCTTGAAATTCTCCTCAGCAAGAAATCCTATAGAAAGATTCTTATAATTTTAACTGAATTCGTTTTAGATTTCTTTTTTAATCTCACTCCTTCCCTTGGAATTCTACTCACATTGAAAGCCTCCTAAGAATTCATTTTCATTTTTCCTCACAAATTCCTTAGATTTCTCTCCTTAATTTGTTTGGCAATCTCTCCTGGAATTATTTTTCGAATTTCTTTGAAAATCTCCTGGAGTTATTCTCAGATTTAATTGCAATACTCCTTTTAGCATCCCCTTTAGGGGGTAAGTATTCACCAAAAAATTACGATGACTTATGCTCCGATTTCAAATGTGTGAATGAAAATAACTAGGAATATTGAAAATGCATTCTTTTCTTTAGAATATCACTAGTAAAAAAAAATATTAAATTTCCTTAGTAATGATAAGATTCTCTGAGACTTCCAGGTATTTTCAGGAGACATAGAATTCCCTGGGAATTCCCGGGTTTTCAAGATTTTCCAGACAGTAGACACTTGGAGATTTAGTCATAAACTTTCTATTGAATCTTTCGTTTTGAAGGTTCCTATCGATTATATTTAAATGATTATGAGATTCTAATTGATTAAGTCTAAATATCTTCCCTTAGGTCACTTTTTAGTCACTTTTTTACAACTATATGTCACTATTTGGTCACTTATTTCTTAACATGGTCACTAAAATCACTATTTTTGACAGCATTGATCGCTACCAGCCCTGAAAGTTCTAGTTTCAGACTCTACTCAAATGTTAAAGACCCAGAAACTTAGTATCTTCGTAAATATTTGTTTTTTTATCCTTTCAGTAAATAACCTTTCAGTAATATTCTTCAAGTATTGGTCTATTGGACGTGGATGTTAAAT